CCACACTCAAAAACTTGCTGCGCGGTCCCTGAATTAGATTTACATACTGTAAATCTCAGTGAAAAATAGATACCTTTTACTTCGGTGGGCGTTCTAAATTATCTATCTTCATTTGAAAAGCAGGCTGCTTTTCACAATACAACACCCGCAGAGGTCTCAGTTTTTACCTTTGTTTTGACTAATTCACATCAGACCAAGGCAATTACGAAACTTCCTCCAAAAGACTTCACTTTCGATGTCGTTTTGGAAAGTCCTCGTTTTGATTAAGAGTTCAGAGGAGACAAAGTCATCGTCCAAAACTATTTAAAAGTATTAATTTTGTAACGTTAAAACGTAACAATATAGGGGTGCGGAAGGCCGCAATATTACCTTCCGTAAAAATTTTATCGCGGTTTATTGCGGTATTTATTTGTGTACCAGTCAGAGTAACACTTTCGCTAGAAGACAGCTGAATTAAAATCAGTCCTAACATCTTATCAAAATCGAAGCTCGGGGGAAATGTGTACTTCTAAACCATAATAGTCAAATTTACAAAGTATTCAATGAAAATGGCATGACGGATCGACCACATCAAAGGTGAATAGATTACTTGAACTTAATAAAAGTTTCCGGAAACTAATATTTGAGGCTTACTTTGAAGACAAATTAAATAAACTTTTTAGATACTGGCAATACAGAAAAACATTTGCATGCACCCTGCTAAGGTTGACCGAATATCAAATTGCTCAGTTGACTTTTGTAGTCAGTTTCTTCTATTCATCATTTCATCGGGATTAATTCATTAACATATAGCCAAAAGCTGGCCCGAAGTTGAATTCATAAATACAGTGGAGTCTTTGTTGTCTGAACAGCCGAAAAGTCACGTGCTTTTTACTACGTCATCCCTCGCAGGAGGACACGAAGCGCACGTGAAAGTCATGCTTCTTAGTCGTGAGTTTGGTTGCGGAATCTTTTAAACTTTTGGACTTTCGCAACGAGGGAGGTTAACAAACGCGATAACTGAGCTTACGATTGCCTAATTGCTAACAGCTGTTTGTGATTACCTAACTTCCTCTCCAACATCGTGTGTGAAGCCAGCGTTTTGCTCTGGATAGAAAAATTTTAAAATACCATAAATGAATACCGTAAATGAATACCGTAAATTTGATGATATCGCCATCTTGTTTTAGAAATATATACAATTTATGGAGTCAAACATACAAAGGTTTTGTTCGCTATCGACATCTATTGTAGGCAAGAAAAGAAATTATCTAGGCAGGTGAACTGAAATTAAAGAAGTTGGCCGACAGGAAGTCTAAAAAAAAACAGGCTTCGACGGAATTTGACACCGCGTCTATCAGAAGATAATTTATTTTCTTGTTTATCACAGGCGCTAGTCAAAATGTAATTTATTTCATTCAAGTGTAAATTTATTTCTTTATTCATGTTCTTGAGGCTCGACTAATTTGCTTGATATCCATAATGAATTGAGAGACTGTGCGTTGTCCTAATAAAGACCCAAGTCTGGAAACTTGTGTTTTTTCAACCGCGATATATTGCTGTTAGAGGGGTTAATAAGGCCAATATATTATTTTTCATTCTTAAAAAAGATCAGGCGGAAGTCACATTAACACTTAGTTAAATGATCAGTTGCTCCATATACCCGAGCGAAGCTCGGCCTTTGCATGAATTTCCGATTTGATAATAGAGATTGGTGGGTCTTGCAACTCATTTCGATATTTATGCGTGCCTGTCAAGCAAATTCATGAGTCAGCGGATTCTTACTCACGCACATAGCGAACGTTTCCTTATTGTCGAGTGGAGTGGGAACTCATATTGTCAATGTGTCGCTAAAAAAGTTGACAATGTGGATTCTCGCTGGTTTATTACTCGTTTCTTTGGAGACCCTACTCCTCGACTTTGCTTCTGGTGGAATATGTCAGCCGCTCAACACAACTTTGTTCAATAGCTGCGTACAGGCGGGTTATTACAATTCTTCCGCATTTGATTCTGGCAGACAAGGAGAACTTGCAAGTCTTATTTTCAACTTGCAGAAGAGGTTTAACTGCTCTTCGTTGACTAATCTCATGACTTGTCCGCTTTATCTTCCAATTTGCCAATCGACGAAGCTACCTTGCAAAAGTACGTGCAAGAAGTTTCTCTCTGACTGTAGGAACGTATCAAGCGAAAACGATGGATTAAAAGCATTATTCGGCGGCCTTTGCGGGGTTCTTCCGTCGACCCGATGTACGTCACATTCAACCCATTTTAACGACAGTGGCACGGATAATTCTGGTAAGTAAACGAAAATTTCACGGTAGTGTATGCGGGCCAAGGTTCGATATGCAATACAATTATGCCTGGCGGGTTACATGGAGATTTGAATATTTAAACAATTTTCCTTCAACCGTGGTATTTGTTACCGCTGAACGTTACACAAAACTGATTGCAATATCAACAATTGTGCATAACCTCGAGGATCACGCTAAAAACATGCGATTGTCATGCATCGATGATTCTACGCTCAACATTTGGCGCGGCTTCAAAAATCGAAGCCATGATAAGAAGGTATTTTTAATTTTGCAGGTGTCCTCCTATTCCCGTATGCAAAATAATAAAGACTTACATTTTTTTTCCCTTTCGCTGTTTGCTTTCTAACTGAACTGAAATTACTATAATTTTTTTCTAAAATATATTTTTAAAGTTTGATTGCAGACAGTTTCTTTTGCCCAAAAGTATATGCTTAAGCGTCACTCAAAAGAAGACCTCAAAATATAAAGTTATTTGAACTTTTGTTGTGTTCTTTATGTATATTCATTTTTCAGATATCACATGTCACAAGCTTGTTTTGAAAACATGTCAGAATATGGGCTATAATTCTACATCTGTTACGACTAAATATCAGAAGTTGGTGGAGTCAAGTACTATCTTCAATCAAGTCGGTAGCAACTCAGCAAAGCTTCGAAAAGTTATCTGCATGGAGATAGCGCCGCCATGCGATAAACAAAACAGCGGTAAATTACAAGTTCCCTGTAGGTCTTTGTGCAATGATGCATTTAACGAGTCACGTTCACAGTTTATGAAAGTCTTCAAAAACCAGAAATACTGCTCAGCTTTGCCGAATGCAAACAAGAGTAGACAAGAGTTGTGCCAACTCAAGACTTGGCCGGATAATGTTTATTATCCCAGCGGTTTGTGGATGTCTCTTAATAAGCAAGGTATTTTACGGATTTTTTAACTTCCAAGACCTATTTTTTCTAAAAGCAAGTAGTTAATAGTTTTAACGTCTTTGTTTATGTCTGTATCTTTTAGCGCCACAAAAGAAGAATCCAACGACGCTAACCGCATCAGAAACCAAAACAACTCAATTAGTCATGCATCAAACGTCACGAATTTTAAACACGCTTAAATGGTCAACTCATGCCCTTACGTCCTCACCAATAGCTGCCACTACCGCGCACCAGTCAACAAAAAAAATGTCTACGCCTGCACCTTCTGCTACAGGACCCACCGGTGTTACATCTGGAATCAGTGGAAATACCTCTTCACCATCGATTATGATAATCGCGCCAACATCAACGATCGAGGTAACCACGCCTGAAACGTCGACCTCCAAAACCGTGTCGCCTGCGTCCACCACTGAGGCACCCAAACCTTCACCATCGACCAAGGTAACCACGTCTGCATCTCCTACAAATAAACCCAGCTCACCTGTGCCTAGTACTGAGGAAACCACATCTTCGCCACTAACCACGGACAAGACGTCGGCTTCGACGACAAAGGTGACCACGCCTGCATCTCCCATTAATAAATCCAGCACACCTCTGTCTAGCACTGAGAAAACCACATCTTCGCCACCAACCACGGAGAAGACGTCGGCTTCGACGACAAAGGTAATCACGCCTGCATCTCCTACTAATAAATCCAGCACACCTCTGTCTAGCACTGAGAAAACCACATCTTCGCCACCAACCACGAAGAAGACGTCGGCTTCGACGACAAAGGTAACCACGCCTGCACCTCCTACTAATAAATCCAGCACACCTCTGTCTAGCACTGAGAAAACCACATCTT